CGAAGGTCGCCGTCGCTTTTGTTCTTGTTCTCCGGCGAGGCGAAGGTCGCCGTCGCTTTTAGTTCCCGCTCCCCGGCGAGGCAAGCCTTCTGGACAACTTTGGGACGTCTGGGATCCGTCCCTTGAGGGAGGGGTACTGTCATGATTCGGTTTGGGATCAACAGGTGGCACTGTAGGGCTTCCCCTGCAGCTGCACACCTGTTGGTCATTAGGTAATTAGGGCTTGAAAAGGACTCCCAGCCCGACCACTCATTGTCGGGTCATTGTTGCTCTTTGCTACTGTCCTGTATGTTTGTTGCCGTTTGTCTGCTGCTGTCAGGTTTGTTTTGGTCACAGTTCTGTTCTAGCTTCAGTTGTCATTTTTGTTTGCTACTTTGGACTGTTTGTTTTGGATTTGGTTTTCTGTTTCAATACACTTCATCAAGTACAACCTGCTCCTCCCTCTTGCCTGCTTTTTGGGGTCCACCTCGCAAAGTGACAGAACTTGTGAGATATATTTTTTTATAAGTTTATTTAAACTGACTTTTTTTCTGAAAAACATGAGTCATTGTGACTGCCACCCCACCCCCTCCAAAAAAAACCCTAACTTCCCACAAAAAAAGTCCAAATAGAAAATTTTCTCCCTTTCAAAGACTATTACCACGAGTTGAAATAAATGACAAAAATTAGTCTTTCTGAAATGGAAATGTGACTTATTTGCAGAACGCACCCTTGGCCGCCCAGGCCCTCAGAGGGCTGTCATCGTCGATGACATGGTAGAAAGTGAGTGGCAGGATGAGGAAGGGGCTGTCGCTGGAAGTGTCCACCTGGAAGGCCACGTTCCTCTGGTCCAGGCGAACAGTCTCGCCCTCCTTAGTCAAAGACTGGAGCAGCTTACCCTTCACTTGGACATATGCCCAGCGCTCATTGTGAACATGTCATCAGCCTTGAACTTACTTGCACACAAACTATGTGAACTATTGATGTGCCCCCTTCCTCAAAAGAAGACAAATGCTCAGACTAATGTTGCACTGAACTATCAAAGACAATCTATTGATGTTATTGTTTTCCGAGAAAGAAGACAACAAACTGATGTTGTACTTTCCTAGGAATACAAATTATTCATGTTACCGTTTCCGAAAAAGAAAACTAATGACTGATAAAGAGAAACTCCCAATGTCTTTCTTAAAAAGAAAAAGTATTGGTGTCACACTTTAACTAAAAAACAGACTGAAATTGCAATTCCCTAAAAAGAAGACAAGCTACTAATGTTGCACTTTTGTAAAACACACACACACACACCAATGCTGCATTTTCCTTTAAGAGACAAACTAATTTTTTGGCACTTCTCTAAACTATTAACGTTAACCTTTCCCAAAAAAGAAGGCGAACTACTTTAAAAATAATTTACTAATAAGCTAATAAGAATAAGAAAAATAATAGACATGTAGATTTCAGATCTTCTGTTCATCAGAAAGATTAACTCACATTCCATTTCCTGATGTACAGACTTTGTGAACATCTTATTAACAGCACAAAAGTGAGTCTGTAACGTATGGAAACAGCTATGACAGTGGAAGTCCTCACTTCACCCATGTTTTGGTTGTTGTTTTTGGGGGGGTTTTGTGCCTGAACTTTGCTTCTGATAGCACAATGTACTGCCGAGAGTCACTGTGTCTGAAACTATACGGTGTATATTCGCCGCATATCGTGTATGTAGATATGTGGATGGATAGAAGGACTGACGGACAGTCATACAGACTTACCCCAGAACGAGGAACTTTAGAAGAATCACTATTGTGTCTTATGTTGGACTACGGGAGCCAGAGACGTACAGTCTGGAAATTAAGCGGCCGCTTGAGGCCCCGTGGCCCCTAAGGAGCCCCAAGAAAGCTATTGTCCTGTGTTTTTTTTTTTTTTTAATTTTACTATACTTTAGAGAGGCCCAGGAACCTTTGAAGTGGGACTCTGCAGGACTGAACGTACCTTATCTGATTGTAGCTTTTGTGTTCCCACAGAATTACCGGTTAAAGTTTCTGTAACTGTAGGGTGGAAATGTGACTTCAGATCCAGTGCAGTTCTACACAACTACAAACTGCAGCCAGAATAATAAACATATTGTTCTTATAGTATGCAGGAATATAGAGACAAACAACAACCAACAATCACACCGAGGGACAATTTAGGCTAGAGTGTTCAATCGACCTGCAATGCATGTTTGTAGAACGTGGGAGGAAACCAGAGTACCCTGAGAACATATAAACTCCGGAGCCCGGAATCGAACCCCGCACCTCTGCACTATGAGGCGGATATTTTGGATGGTTTCTGGAGCCGACGATGAGAAGAAAGGAGCGTCAGCGCAGCACGCAGATTCGATTGTGGAACTGGGAGTCGCTGCTTGGAACTGAAGCGGATTTACATGGCACAGGAGATGTGAGCCAATCTCTTTTTCATCAATGACCCCTACAGCTTCTTGTTTGCTTTCAAACTTAGCTTGTAGCAGACGTGCACATTTTCAGCATGACGTCTTTGATCCAATGGTGAAAGGACACTTTGATTCTCTCTTCTTTCATCTCTAACTGCTTCAAACAACAAAATGTATGCAGAAAAGGTGGTTAAGATTGCATGACTGTCCTTGTCTTATGTGTTGTGTTGTATTATTTTGTAATTTTATGTTAACTGTTCTGTTGATGGCAGCGCGGGCACCCGCAGCAGCTTCTCTCTCTCCTGTGGTTGAGAGGAAAGAAATTTCATCTGTGCTGTATGTTGCACATAGAGCACATTTGACAATGAAGTTGACTTGAACCTTGAACATACCGACCAGTCACCTCCATGCCGCCCTACAGACAGTATTTTTTCTCATTCATCCATCCATTTTCAACACCGCTTCTCCTGAAAAGGGTTGCTGCAGCCATCCCAACTGACTATACCGGTTTCCAATCAGTCGCAGGGCACATCTGGAGACAAAAAACCATTAACACACACATCCACACTGTCACCAAGTGGAAACTGATACCACGTTGCCCGCGCAACGTGGTATCAGTAATCTGTTGTATTTCTTTAGATATATGATGCAGGTGTATACTATTCAAGGTTACGTGCATTTAATAATAATGGATGCGTGTCCTCTTTGATTCTTTTCCTCTGTTGGGATATGATGCAATATATGCGCATATGTTAGTAAGAGATGACAAATTTGCATGATTTTTATTTCACGGAACAAGTGCCGATGTTGGAAAAAAATGTTTTCAAGCAGGTATTCCACAGGCTTGATCAAATCTTGGCTTGATCGAATCTTTCTGTTCATCTCGCCTTTGAAGTCACAGTGGAATTTTATTCTTTTGAATCTCAAGATGGGAAATAAAAGTGGATTAACAAAAGCAGGGTTGTAAATGACTCCTGCCTGTGGGAGGGCCCCAGCAATGCTTGACCTTTCGAATGGAGACGTTATTTGAATGATGATCCATTACTGCCCTCTGCTGGACATCATTGTTCCATTTATCAACACAACTGGTCATTCCACTGACTGTCATTGAGTGAAGGTGGCTCTTCTGATTCATTCATTCCTTTTATCGTTGACCTTTTATATACCCTGAAGGTTATATACAAACACACACACACACACACACACACACACACACACACACACACACACACACACACACACACACACACACACACACACCGTGGAATCTTAAGTTA